GGGACAATCATTGGTGGTGGTTTCTGAGCGTCTTTATCTTCAACTGGTAGTAATTTTATCCAAGAGTGGTGCTAGTTCAGTGGACTTCTTTATCGGCTCCACTATTTCGGTAAGAAAGGCTCCATTATTTCGGTAAGAAAGTCCTTTAGCAGATCCAAGAGCAATCTTCAATCCCGTGCTCCATTCCATCGTAGGTCGTTGCTTCCCTATAACAAGTATACTTAGTGCACAAAAATACTATAGAACACCTTTAAATCCCATTAAAATTAGGGTGAATAATCATAATAGAGTTGGTATTATTAGTTTGTACCCTTGGCTTGGAGACAACAGCAAAAGTTGTTGACATTCGATATTGTAAAGATTCTTTTGGTCTTGGTTGACTATGAAAAATATTAAGTTTCAACTTGTGTCGAAAACTGATCTCGTCATTGGTTTATCCCTTTGATTGTATTTTGAGAAACGTCAAGACACACATAACTAAGTGCATATCTTCCTAAATAGAATATGACCCAGAACGACCCAAAGTTATTTTAGAAGAAATATTAGTGGTAAGAAAATGAATTAAAGATGTGTGGATCATTCAAAAAGTAGTATACATTTTTGTATAGAGATGTGAAGGCAACAAAGGTTAGATCTTGGCCAAAGAAATCCAATTGCTTAGATTGATTCGTATTTTTTTGAGATAGTGGTAACTGATATAAAGTTTGAAATGACTAATCAACAGCTTATATTGATTCATATATTTTAGAGATAGTTATAACTATAACTGATAGAAGACATAAAGTGACTAGTCAATAGAACAATTCGATCGTGACCAAAGAAAATCAACGATTTAGATTGATTTTTTTTTCTGAAATTGTGATAATTGATAGAAGACATGAAGTGACTAATCAATGCAACTGTTAGATCTTGATAAAAAAAATCAACGGCTTAGATTGATTCGTATTTTTTTTTTAAGATAGTAATAATTCATAGAAAACATGAAGTAACTAATCAATGCAACAGTTAGTTTAACGTCAAGATTTGGAATATTGCAGTAAAGATTTGTAATTAAGG